CATGTCATGCCCAGGATGTAACTGGGAGTTACCCAAAGTGGCTAGTTCACTGCGGGGTTGGACCTAGGTATTGGTTGGTGCTCAGTCGGGCTGGGTATTATTAGTTGGTGGGTGGTATTGTATTGTCTTCCCTTTTATTTCTTTTATCGTTATTATTATTGGTGGCAGCATCAGTGATGTTTGTTATACCTTAGTTACTAAACTGTTCTTATCTCAACCTTTGGGAGTTACATTCTTTCAATTCTCCTTCCTATCCTTCTGGGAGCAGGGGGAAGAAAAGGTGGGGGGGAGTGAGAGAGAGAATGTGTGGCTGATTTATGGTTGACAGGGTTTAAACCATGACAGCCACTCATCCACTTACTAATAAATGTCTTTAATATGTTGCTGAACCAAAAGGAATTAACAAGTGTTTTGTCTACATCCATACACAGATTGACATGCTAGCTGTGCATCAGAGAGATGAAAAGGGATTCAAGCAACCAATTTTTTGTTGAATTTAATGAATGTATCAGTTATGTTATGTTAGTCAATTTCAATGAATGTTTCTCAAGACCTAAGTGAAATTCAGGAGGCTGGAACAAGTTTAGGGAAGGCTGATGCCCCAGAAAATTACTGACAGATTTGTTTGAGGAAATGGAAGTTTAAGCTCCTTTGGAGATATTCTCAAAAGTATGATAAAGATTTAATGCAGCTAGTCAAAGATATAAGCAGATGTAAGTATGTTCACAAACACTGAGGAAGCTTGGGTCTACCTTTTGTGGAAAGTTTTTTACTGTAGACTGTTAATCATTAAAAAAGGGAAATAAATTATCATCAGAACAAACTACGTAATTGCATACAAATTATCTCCAGTTTGTTTCTTTAACTGCTCTGTCAGCTAATTCCAGTTTCTTGTATTATATAGAAGCAGGACAAAAATGTAACAAGACTGTACAGTCTTTGATAAGGTCTACCAGTACTGTAGTCCTCACACAACCTCTTCCAGGAGCCCTGAGATCACAGCTTTTATGATAAAGTTCATCCAGCTTTCATCAGTATATGTTATGAACTATATTTTGTGAATAGTACTAGAATAGAGCCTGGTTTTGCCCAGATATTGCAAAGGGAGGCATAGGCATCCAATACAAACACTGCAGATATCCAACAAGGTATAAGATGAAGTATACCTTTTTCCTTTTGTCTAATTAATTATATTCTAGAAATAGTAGTTTACTGATATATCTATTATAGTTGTTACAGATCTACTGGGAGGTGCTCCTTTACCTCTTTAACTTTCATTCGATATTGCTAACGTAAAAATATGAAATCCAATGTAGTGAGGTTTGTTATGGTTACTAAAGATAAAGACCTACACATTCACCTGCCTTTTCTGAGGCAACTTTAGCCTGGTGGTTTTATTCCTCCACACATGGGTGCAGTATCTGTAGGTAGTAGTGAGTCAATGGGGTAAATACTACACCAAAGGGAAAATTTTCACTATATATGACTATCTTTAAGTATCATGCACAGTCAGAGAAGAAAGGGAAAAGATTTATTTCCCATCTACAGTCCTAGTTCAGTGGATCAACAGGTCTGAATCTGGCTGATCTGGTTTGCAACAGAACACAGTAATTTGTAAAGCCCCAGAATTAAATCACTCAGGAAGAGTTTTTGACAAATATCCAAAAGTCTGTAATGCACATATGACTTCATCACATAGAAACTGAAACATACATTACTGATGATGGGGTGCAGAAAAAATGTTCAGGATTTTCTTGGAAAATACAAAATATGTTACCCCAATAAAAAGTAAATATTATAGACACAATAAAGATAAAAATCCAGTATCAGCTAAAGGGTTAGACAGTGAGGAGTGACTGCCTGAGCGAACTGCAATACAATCTCTGCAAAATTCATTATTCATAAATCATATACCTTTTTTATAAAACATTAGTTCATCTGACTCGTGAGCAAGTTCATTTAAAGAAATACCCAACACTTCAATTAAGAAAACTAATGGGCCATATTCTCCTGTGGGATGACTTGTCATTCCTGCACCAGTACAGCCTATAGTGTGACCATGATTATAACAGTACAGAGGTATTACACTCTATTGCAAGTGGTTAATGCAGAAATTGACACTATGAACACACTACATATATACCCCCAAAATTATAGCCATGCTGCATTTCCTGTTCTGGTACAGGTGTATGACTTCTCTGTATAGAAAAAGAAAATCTGAAGCAAAAGCAACCAATCAAAAACCACTGTCAGCTTGAAGAGATATGTGTAAAATTTAGCAAAATAAGCAAGGTTATGAGGAAAAAAACAACACGCTGCAAGAAATGTGGAATCAAAAGGCCTTGTTTCATGCATATCTGAATTACTGGTGATTAATTCATGGCTTCCCTGATAGATAGCAATGGCCTTTTTTCTGATAAGGACATTTTTGCTTGACCCCCTATACTCATGGAGTTTGAGAGACTCTAGGGCCTCTTGTATCACGTCTCTGTCAGATTTCACTGAAATCAGCCACTGACTCGAGATGCTTGAATTTGAGATCCTCAGGACAGTGAGAAGAGCGTGCAGCAAGCTCACTGCCCTGGACTTCAAAAGAGCAGACTTTGGCCTCTTCAGGAACCTGCTTCGGAAGGTCCCATGGGATACAGCCCTAGAGGGCAGGGGGGCCCAAGACTGTTGGTTGATATTCAAGGATCACCTGCTGCAAGCTCAGGAGTGTTGCATCCCAACCAGAAGGAAGTGCAGCAGGAGGGCCAGGAGACCTCCTTGGATGGATAAGGAGATGCTGAGGAAAATTCAATTGAAAAAAGAGGCTTATAATAAGTGGAAGCAAGGACAGGTGGCATGGGAAGAGTACAGGGATGTTGTCCAAGAAGCTAGGGACCAGGTTAGGAAAGCTAAGGCCCAGTTGGAATTAAACTTAGCTAGGGGTATTAAAGATAACAGGAAGGGATTCTACAGGTACATAGCAAATAAAAAACAGACTAGGGAGAATGCAGGCCCCCTCAGGAAGCTCTTGGGAGAACTGGCTGCACAGGATTTGGAGAAGGCTGAGGTTCTGAATGACTTCTTTGCCTCGGTCTTCACTGGCAAAGGCTCTGACCAAACCACCCAAGTCTTGGAAGGCAGATGCAGGGACTGTGAGAATGAAGACCTTTGGCCCACTGTAGGAGAGGAACTGGTTCGAGACCATCTTAAAAATCTGAATGTGCACAGGTCAATGGGACCTGATGAGATCCATCCGCGGGTCCTAAAGGAGCTGGCGAATGAAGTTGCTAAGCCACTGGCCATCATATTTGAGAAATCATGGCAGTCAGGTGAAGTTCCCAATGACTGGAAAAAGGGAAATATAACCCCCATTTTCAAGAAGGGGAAAATGGATGACCCGGGGAATTACAGACCAGTCAGTCTCACCTCTGTGCCTGGCAAAATCTTGGAGCAGATTCTCCTGGAAGGCATGCTAAGGCACATGAAAATCAACAAGGTGCTTGGTGACAGCCAGCATGGCTTCACTAAGAGGAAATCCTGCCTGACCAATTTGGTGGCCTTCTATGATGGGGCTACAGAACTGATGCACAGGGGTAGAGCAGCTGATGTCATCTACCTGGACTTGTGCACAGCGTTCGACACTGTCCCACATGACATCCTTGTCTCTAAATTGGAGAGCAACATCAATTTGATGGATGGACCACTCGGTGGATAAAGACCTGGCTGGATGGCCACACACAAAGAGTTGTGGTCAATGGCTCAATGTCCGGCTGGAGACCAGCAACGAGTAGTGTCCCTCGGGGATCGGTGTTGGAACCGGTCTTGTTTAACGTCTTTGTCGGTGACATGGACAGTGGGATTGAGTGCGCCCTCAGCAAGTTTGCCGATGACACCAAGCTGTGTGGTTCGGTTGATACGCGGGAGGGAAGGAATACCATCCAGAGGGACCTTGACACTCTTCTGAGGTGGGCTGATGCCAGCCACATGAAGTTTAACCATGCCAAGTGCAAGGTCCTACACCTGGGTTGGAGCAATAGCAGGCTACAGGCTGGGCAGAGAAGAGATTCAGAGCAGCCCTGCGCAGAAGGACTTGGGGGTGTTGGTTGATGAGAAAATGAACATGAGCTGGCTTCAGTGTGCGCTTGCAGCCCAGAAAGCCAACTGTATCCTGGGCTGCATCAAAAGGATCATGACCAGCAGGTTGAAGGAGGTGATCCTGCCCCTTTACTCTGCTCTTGTGAGATCTCATTTGGAGTATTGTGTGCAGTTCTGGTGTCCTCAACATAAAAAGGACATGGAACTGTTGCAACAAGTCCAGAGGAGGGCCACGAGGATGATCAGGGGACTGGAGCACCTCCCGTATGAAGACAGGCTGAGGAAGTTGGGGCTGTTCAGCCTGGAGAAGAGAAGGCTGTTTGGAGACCTCCTAGCAGCCTCCCAGTATCTGAAGGGGACCTATAGGGATGGTGGAGAGGGACTCTTCATTAGGGACTGCAGTGACAGGACAAGGGGCAACGGGTTAAAACTTAAAACAGGGGAAGTTTAGATTGGATATAAGGGAGGAAATTCTTTCCTGTTAGGGTGGTGAGGTACTGGAATAGGTTGCCCAGGGAGGTTGTGAATGCTCCATCCCTGGCAGTGTTCAAGACCAGGTTGGATGAGGCCTTGGGTGATATGATTTAGTGTGAGGTGTCCCTGCCCATGGCAGGGGGGTGGAACTAGATGATCTTAAGGTCCTTTCCAACCCTAACGATTCTATGATTTTATGTTGTCTGGGAACAGCAGAGAAATAGACAGACAAACCCGTGCTGCATCACTGAATAACCTTAACTCCCACACAGAGACCTGAAGCAAGAAGAAAAAATAAAGGTTTTATTCAATACAGTAGACAAATGAAAGCAGCAGTGTTTTATACTCCCTTAAATGTACATTTGTCCAATATTCTGCTTTTCTGTTTCTTCCTCTGTTTCCAAGTCCAGTACGTCAGAGAAATGGTGCATCACAACCTGGGGTAGAAAAAGACCTTAAAGCTACAGATGCACAAATGTCCTTAGTGCAGCTCAGTCTCCAGAAAGGCTCTATGGCTTTCAGCAATCTGTGTTTTCTGACAGGTCCTACAGCAGAACCAAGAAAAGGGTAACCATTGTTGAACAGTGAGGAGTAGTGCTGATGCATGGCTTTCTCAGCAAGCTTAAGACCATCATGTAGAGCAGCAGGGGAGAGGAGCCTAGAGGTGGCTGAGGAGCAGTGAAGCAAGAAAGCAATGAAAGGTTTGTTGCTTTGCCTGTGCAAGAAGGGAGCCCAAGCTTTCCTCCCACATCAGCTCTACATTCACCCCATGGCAATGAACTTCACTTACCTACGCAATGAGTCGCTTTACCTGAACATCACACACTGAGGTTCTCCCCATGATCAATTGCCTTGTAGTACAAAGGAATGGTTAAAAAAATGCTGCTGGAGAGAGAAGGAAAACTTTGAATGAGACTCCCCAGCAAGGGATGACCACAGATTGGGCTCTGTGACGCATACTTTGCACACTACATGGGTGTCTCTCTTCCAAATTCTCCTTGTTTCCAGACAGTATCTTGACGCACACTGACAATGATCAACTGGCATATGCTGGAGCAAAATACATCTACTGCAATGCAGCATTTCCCTTCCAGCAGCCCCTTCAGTCTTGTGTGACACAGAAACAAAACCGGCCCACCACTTCTTTCAGCCCATCCTCAACATCTTCAGTTCCTCATTCTCTTCCATAATGTAGAAGGGACAGCACCTTCCACGTGGAGCTGTAAGATGATACCGCTTCATATTCTGCCACCTGGGACTATTTCAATAGCAAATCAATTAGAAGTATTTAGGTTGTTTAAACCCCCACAATGTTACAAGCATATCCTGCCAATGCTTCATATTTCTTTAGAATACAGTAGTAGAAAGTAACCCTATGTATCCCATACCAGTTTTACAGCAAAAACATGCAGCAGCTTTCCAGATGCTGAAGTTGCTCTTGCTGAATGAGCCCTTTTAAATCCAAATGGGATATAAACCCATAAGATGCTGACTAGGTCTTACATTCCTTCCATGAGCAATTGCCTCGGTATATTAGAACTGTCTGAGGAATGGGCTGCAGGTGTTGTTTTAAAGACTGTTAATGGCCAGCTTTAGGACAGAAGGGGTGGGAAAATTGTTTTTAAAGTCTATTATCTTTACCTTGATTTGGGATTTTGACTTAGAAGAATTGTAAGAGTTTGCAAGGATGGAGTTCTGCACAGGCACTGCACCTATTGACTAAGGACATGTTTATTGTTGGGGTGTTAAACTACAGTTAATAGAAAGAAAGGAATGAGTTTTTCCACTTAATGTATAACAGCCTTTCTGCTAAGACACAAATAAATCATTGTGCAATTGCCAAGTGACTTTTATTGGTTTTCCTGTATCTGTGAAAACATTTTGAACATTACAAGTGGCCACTTGGCTGACGTTAAGAATGCATCTCACTAAAAACTGGTGGTCACTGCTGAAACAACAAAGTTTTGCTTGGACTTCCATTCAGCAATAAATAAAACAAAAAATGACCACATGGACAGCATGGGTCTCTTTCTTGATGATTCAAGTCTAAAAACGATATCAAAAAAGGAGGTCTGCAGGGAAAGAATCAGAGTATAGACTAATTGAACGTGAATGTACCAGGTGCTCTATACAATAATTTACAATAATATTGTTCACAGTTTACTACTTCACTGTGTCTACTTTTCAGCAAATATAATTTAACTCTGAGTTAAAGTGGCCTTCAGCCATCACCAGAACACAAATACTTCAAGTTGGTATCTATCTACTGTATATATCTAGTTGCAGATTTAATACCTCCAAATACTGCAAAAAAAAACAACAATTCATCATCAGTCTGGTGACTGAAACATAATTATTAATGCTGATAAAGAAGAAGGGAAAGTTTTTTACTAGACTAATCAAAAGAAAAAAACCCCAAAACACAGCAAAAAAAAAAAAAAAGAAGAAGGAAATGCAATGGAAGCTCTTAAGCTATCACACAGTGTTTTAAAAATACTAGCCTGTTCCCAGTTACTCAGTAAAAATGACATTCAGGAATGCCATTTTCACTGAGTGTCTTATGGGCTTCTAAAAGTGGGGTTCTGTTAGAAGCAGAACTTCCCAAGCCAGTTCTCTGGCACTTGTGGATCTTTCCAAACGGTTTCGGGTTTACATGAAAGCAATACACTATACTACTAACCCTAAAATGGTCAGAGGTTTTTTTGGATTGGAATTCTTGATCATGAGCTTGTAAAAAAACAGACTTAAGAGGTACTTGTTAAACTTCACAAGTTAAACATTTTACCTGCACACACACACACACACACACACACACACACACACACACACAATAACAGTGGTCATGAAAGCCCACACAAGCATCTGTTAAGGTGCATATTAGAAGTCTCAGTGTCAATACATAGTGAATATTGGGAGTATCAGGACTACTCATCTTTAAAAAACTCAGAGATTACAAGTATGAAAACGTAGAGTAAAAGCTACACATTTAAATAAGACTTTCAAACTAATCAAACTCTTTAAAGTCAATGATATAGAAATACATGCATACATTGTGAAATAATGACAGGTTAGGGTATTTTAAAATCAGTATCATGTTTCAGTACAATAACAATATTTATTACAGTATAATATGAACTATTTTAAGCAGTACTAATACTCTAGAAGCTTTTAGTAATAACATCATATCACAACTGTTTTTTTTTCTAATACTCACTAAGTTTTTTGCTTAAGAGAACCAAGTATAGCAGATTTTGGATAGGAAGAGTTATTTGATTAGTTATTCTCATGGAGCTTGCATTTGGTTTATTTTTTATACCCCTTATTTTATTGGTTAACATTCAAATTGCATCACTTTTATTTTATTAATATCATTAGAAACATAATATCAAATATTAACTTTGTAAATCTCTCAAAAAATACTGCTGGACTTAAAAGGATATTAGATGCTAAACTATCTTTACTGTGTAATTCATAAAGATTTCAATCTTACCACATGAATGCACTACAAAGTTAATTGCTTCTATTATTCCTTGAAAGGGAGCCATGTGACTGTTCTTGTATTAAGGTAAAAGTCATAATATTCTTATTTTACTCTCATGTTCAGTGATCATACCTTCTTTTGTCTGTCTGAACAATTGTGCAGCTTTTAGCAAGGCCTCTCACTGGTTTTTGTTTGCACAGCTCTATGGCCATTAGAGTTAGAAGCTTTAATATAGTGAACAAATTCCTCTAAATGGCCAGCTGACGGTCTTCTACATTCACATACCGATGTATTAAAAAGCCTGACACATGCTACTAATTTCAGCTCTCAGGTTTTTTTTGCAAGTCTTCAACAGTACATCAGACTTTGTAGTCCACTGTGTTAGAATTGTCAATGGGAACCAAAAGGGGCCTTCCTGGGCTCTTCTTTCACATGAAAAACTGATTTAGTTCTGATTTGGAGGGATGCCTGAGTGCACAGTAACAGTGTGACCACATTGCAGAAGGCCCTTCTCACTTAACTACGAGGATTTGAAGTCTGGGCACATAAGACCACATAAACACCTTACTTCCCCTATCCTAGTCACCCCAAAAGACAGGAATCATCTTCTAGAGGTACCCATCTCTTCAGATGGCTCAGATCAAATGAAAGTAGTCCTGCTTAATGTGACAGCATATCTCCTTAGAGATTTTAGCTTACATAAAAAATAGAGATACTTTTATAAATCAGCTGCAACAGTACAGGCTAATTTAGATTCATTTTACCTAGGTTTTGTGGTATGGCTGCACTTTGCTTCTGTTGGAGTGACAGCAGAGTAGACATGCGTTTAGGAAACCAGATGTCAGCTTGTTTGGTGATTGATGCAAAGCATTGAGAGTGAAGCCTTGACAGTGAATGTGCTGAGTGTAGGCTGGGAACCACTGGGTATACACTGTCTAGTATTACCTGAATGCACTGTATACTATACAATATAATTATACTAATGTATAATGATTCTTTGAAGTAATCTGAACAAGTGAAAATAAAGCCATGAAACATACTAGACACTGTGTAATGAAAATTACCACATTCTAGGTTATTTCTGAAATTCTCAGATCTCTCATTAAAAAAAAAAAAAGAAATCATCTGGTTTCTACTCATTGGCAAGATTTTCTTAAATAAGTGGTACAGTTAAAAAGGCAGCACAAAACCTTGAAGGCACAGTTTCCTTTCTTTGGGCATTATGTAGAAAGAATTAGAAACTATACCTGTTTATCTGGTGTTTATCTCAAACATGGGTGAACTACCAAAAATAAAAAGAAGCTATTTGTAGAGAACAAATATGTTTCCTTATCAACTTTTTCTTCGGGCCACTGAATCTTAACTGGCAAACAAAAATGGTTTTGTGGCTCTGTGGCTTATCAATCTTCATCAGGAACGTTTATTTACAAGCTGTTTCTTGAAGCTATACGGTGAATTCAAGTGTTTTATAAGCTTAGAGTCAGCACTTAAGCAAACTGATAAAACACTATTTACGTGAACAGTAGCACATCTATGCTTTTGACCCAACATGTTTACTTACAGCTGGAGTATTAGTCTCAATCCAGATTTCCTTACACTACAATAGCAAAATTATTTCTGAGATAGACAAAGCTAACTTAGTCAAGCCATATCAGGTTCATTAGAATTACATACATAGATTCATACACAGCATGATGCATCTCTATCCTCCCTCACTCATCACCCTGAACTCCACCAGAATTACCAACCCTTGCTGCAAGCTCATCACCCTCTGTGTCTCTAGTGCCAATTTGGATATCCTCCAAATCAGTGTATCTTCCTCTCTTTGCAATATTACCGAGGATTTTTTCATAGCTCAGCTATGTGGCAGCTACATCCACATCAACAGCAGTAAACAAAGCTGCTAGTTCACCCCACAGCCCCTAACCCCATGCATGAAGTGGCCAGGTCTCTTTGGCTGGTAGACAGGTAATGCAGATACTGCTATACAAACCTTCAGGCTCCATTGCCCAAGAAGAAGTAGGAGTAAATTCCGCTTACTATATACTAGTGAGCTATTCCTTTTCGGTGCCTGTTTCTTGCACTTTCCTTGGAAGGTGCTACTTAGTCAATCATTTCCAAAGGCAACTTACATCATTTGCAGTCTTGGCTGCTGGAATTATTCTGATGCAGCTCTGTAAAACTGTGCTCGATGTTTTCCTATTTTAACTGCTTTGAAACAATTCCCAAGAAATCACAGAAGGGCTTCTTGGACTGCCAGCACTTGAGAACACTGTACATGTAGTCTGCCAGGACCAATTCCTCTCATTCAGAGAGGAAGGACTATTTTATACCCTGAGGAAATGAACAGTGCAGGGAGGGAAAAAGGTCCTTGGAGAACAGGGCATACGTAGGAGAGAGGGGTTTCCAGCCTGTGGAAGACTGAATGCTTGTGAAGGAGGACATCTCCTTCTGTGAGCACTGAAAATTACTTTGGATTCAGATTCTGGTTCCTTTCTCCTTGAAACACTAGCAGTTCTCCTTAAATCTGAGCAATATCTAATTTAGAGTGCTAAAAGATAAAAATATTCCTTTCCACAATTTATTGCCTTAAAAATATGCAAATCAAAGCACATAGACTGAAATTAAAGTAGTATGCAAACTGATATCCCCTGGAAGTTTTGCCTGTGCACACAGTTTATTACGCAGATCCAAATCTATCAAGACACTGAGATTTTAAAAATATTAATAAGAAAATGAAAACCCAGCTTGAAAAATTAATCTAACAAGAAAGCCCAGTCTTTTCAAATCTTTATGATTTTTGTTTGCTTTTTTTTTTTGGTTTTGGGTTGTGGGGTATTTTTTTCAGTAGAAAACCTAATTTAGATTTCTCCTTTTTTTCCTATATTTACCTTAAACCCCACCTCCCTACTGTTTCTTGGGGAATGCTTTTTCTGCCCATCTAGACATAGTAAAGCGAATTTTAACATGCTTCTCAGTCTGTCAGCAGTGCCTTGCGAGCACATCTGATCACAGTGATAGATGGCAGACCTTCTCTTTGGTCAATACAACTTCTAAGATGCATATAATATGTAATAGAGACTATGCATATCTTCATCTTACAGCCATGGCTGGAAATTACCGTAAAAATCGCACAAACAAAACTAGAACCAGGAAAGAAGTTGCACTTCCCTGTTACATAGTTTCTCCATCAGCAATAAACACTCACAAAATTTCTTAGTGGGGAGATAAACTTTGACATGAAACATATTACCATGTAACATTAAAATGTAGAGACTTAATAGACCAGATCCTCCACTAGATAAACTCCAGGTAAGCCTAGGGAAACTGCAGCTGCTGACAACAATTGCAGATAGAGCCTGTTTAGGTGGCTCGTTCAGAGCATGCCCATATTTTCTTACTTTTTTTTGACAGAAATAAGGAAGAGAAGACACATAAACCAGGAAGGATCTCCAGGATTCTCATGTACCATATAATTTAATTTTATTGTGTCAGAAAAAAAGGTCAAAGGACAAACTGGATAAGAGTTGTAGAGTTGCATCCACCTAGGCACGCTGAAGATTGACTCCTGTTTTACATATCTTTATGTTCCTTGCATATATTTATTTCTTGTAATTTTTGCAGTCTTTGTCCATTGAACTTGTTTTCTGTTCGGTAACTTGTAAGGCATGTTGCCTCCTTAGCTACACATAGATAAAATAAAAACTTGAGAGGAATAATATAAGGAAGGTTATTATTTAGTAAGTGAGTCAGAATTGCATGAAATACAGGGGCATGGAGGCATCAGCTATGTTTAAGTCAGCAAGGAAAATACAATCTCAGGCTTCATTACACTAAGAAGAAAAGTAGTATATTAATCACCTCCCTCCTATCAGCAACAGACAGATATTATTTTATATTAAAATGAAACCCATTTCACTATTGCAGTTTCTATTTTTTTGATAAGCAGAATGTCCTTTTTTGGAAAATCAGACTTCTAACTCTTTTGTTTACCCTTCTCAATCCCTTTTTCTGGAAAAAAATCTTTCTCGCAAAGGCCATAACTTACAAAAAAAAAACCAAACCCAAGCCATGATATAAGGAAGAAGGAAGGAACCACAATCAATTCTAAGTCCAGATCTTGCAGGCTGCTCTTCCAGTGAAAGCCATGCCGAGTGTGCATGCAGAGGGCCTCCTGTGAAATGGCAAACTTCAGAATTTTGAAGCTGCTCTGGGAAGAGAAACCATTTGCTACAGATTCTGGTCTCTTCTTCCAACTCAGATCAGTTTTGAAACAGCTTTCTTAATTTTTTAAGTTGCCTCTGAATTTGTCCCATCTGTCCTTAGTTACCTGGTCTCCAGCAGGCTTTGCTCCTTACTTCTCCTAAGGCAGAAACATCAAGTCTTCTTCATTCCCCATTTGCCCCTTCCCACCTTCTAATGCCACAGGCTGTCAGACCATACTCTCCACTGCTGCTAGCACTCTGCTTTAAAAAAAAATCAGGACACAAGATCTGGAAATGTCTCCTGGATTTTTACATCTTTAGTAAGTTAACTGGAAGCTGAGAAGCAAACTGAAGGAAGTTGGAGCTGAACACACTGAAGTTGTGGAGTTAAAATATCCCTCCCCAGGCAAATGAAAACAAAAAAGTTGTATTATTTAATGCGTTGTAGTTTTCAGAAGACTTTGTTGTTGTAACTGAAACACAACTAGAGACTTCCTGCTCAGCGGCTGAAGGACTTACTGAGGAGGCCCTTACAAATGTGTGTACCAGGAAATGAACCTGAATGCCCATGTCACACAAAACCTACAGTAGAATCTACACTGCTGGTAACACAACCCAACATACACCACCACCTCCCCCGCCTGCCGCAGGAGCATGACAAAGTCCAGTAACTCTTGTGGTGTAATACAGTATGTCACATTACTTGACAAATCCACTAGAAGGACTAAAGATAACGTAGCACTTTGATAAATCATTTATGAACAGATTTTCTTTCACCTTTGCATGTGCATTAAGAAGAGGAAAGGAAAAAATGTGGATGTCATACCAGGAACAACACAAATGAAAATACTGTTGCATGGATACCTAAAATTCCCCCAGCCTGCTTTCCCAGGAGCTATACGTGCATTTGAGAAGGTGTGTCTGTTTTTGCACCTGATACACTGACAGAGAAGTGCCTGCCCACTCTCCACCAAACATTTGACTAAAGAAATAGTACCTCTTTAACTACAGGCTTTCAAACACAATTTCCAGAGTGTAAAGTCATTTCCTGTGCACTATGGGGGTGACAGAGCAGTCCCTGTTTCCTGAAATGTTGGTCAATATGACTTTTCTTTCAGGCAGCAGAATGTGAAAAGGGGGATATTTTTATACAAGGCTAGAGACTAGCAGAAAGTCACCTATGAGACTGGGCTTTGAGCATGTGACAAAGCCAAAATACTGTCCAGAAGATGTCTATGGCTAACATCAGCAAGAAGGGAGATGTCATTTTGCAGGGAGACAAGAACCTTTGTGTACAGCACTGTGTTGTGCAGGTTTTTGTCTGTGTGAACATCATCACAGATATGTTAATGACTTCACCTGGGAAAAGCTGCCTGGGAGATCAGAAGAGGCTGCAGAACCTGTATGCTGTTCCCACATTTCCCCCTCTACCAGAAGTATCAAAACTTGTCCAAGACCAAGCTTACCTCCAAAGGTTCCAAGTCTGTGAGAAGACACTTTAGACCAGGTTTTCAATGCATTTTACTGGGAGGAGGAGCAGCTGTGGAGACTTCCTTGTCTCAACACACATCTGTAAAAGGAAGCAGTGCTCACTCTCCCACAGACAGGCCTGAGGGAGAATACTCACATCTGAATTGGGTCTATATTGGTCTTCTTACTGCAGTTTGCAACCTCATGGTAGTGAACTGGTTTTAGCTCCTCAATTTTTCATTTGGAAGGCCATGCTTGTGATTTTGTGCAAATGATTGCTTACTTAATGTACAGAGAATCTGCTATGAGTTTTTCTGAGAGATTCACCTTTCAACACATGGCTTACGAAAAAAAAAGGCTGAGAAGAAGCAGGGCAGATGCTACTATTCAGCTCTCAAGAACACTCTAAATATAACTGTATTTGGGTGTAAACTGTTTTCTGCGTAAAGTGCATAATGAAAAAAAATAGAAATAAAAGAAAATGACCCCACTGGGGAAATGGGGTGATAAGACACTATATAAGGATGAAAGAAAAGATTTCAGGAGCATTTCTTTCCATAGCTATAGCGATGAGTGACAGTGGAAAACAAGCCAATAAGATAGCAGACTTATTTCTGATAGTGGCAATTTCTAATGCACCGTGTGGGTTGTAACCCTGCTCATGAATGCAGGTGGAGGAAGCTGGTTCTGAAACTCTTTTGCCTTGTTGTTTTTTGTTTGGTTTTGCTTTTGTTTTTGTTTTTTTGTGAGATTAATCAACTTTTGTAGCTCTCGAAATAACCTTCTATGTACACTGGCTTTAACAATGTGACCCAAAGAGAAAGCTACAGAACTGACTGAATACTCCAGAAAGAGTTTTGAAATTAAGAGTTAAGAATTAACAATGGTTTACCAAACAAAAGAAAAATTGAAGTTCAGTCTGAATTTATAAAGGAGGAATAACAGTTCAATAAAAATACCAGGAACAAAGACCTGAAAGCAGTAAGATGAGTCACAGACAAGCAAGAATGTTATCCTGGTGTGCACAGATAGAACAACAAAACGCAAGAGCTTCAGACAACCAGGGCATTCTCAGTCTCAGAGAGAAGGAAGAGTGGGGAATAAAGGGCAGGAGATTTGAAAGTGTCTTCATGACTCATGCCTGGAAAGTACACGATTGCATAGAAAAGTACATCTTTTTTTACAGCTAAAGGTCATTCATTTTTCTCAGAACAGTAGTACACAGTGAGGGACAACCATAGTGGATTAATTTATTTCCAGGGCAAAACCTCATGAATTCCACAAGCATCAGACCTAATAAAGTCTGGTTTCCTAGAGGGTTCTGTCTTCTTGGTCCACTGAAACTCTGAGTTACACTAAATAGAATTTTATTTGAACTACGCTAACATCATTCATTCAAGTTAAGAACGTTAGGAATGTGCCAGCTTTCAGTCAGTATTTACATCAACAAACAACAGAAAATTCACCTATCAGGTCAGAGATTTAAGGTGTTGGGCAATTAAGCCTTGTTTCCAACATATAAGTATTTTGAATTGAAGCTCTTATTCCCTGTGCGATAAGGGGCAAATTAATACGGAAGCTTCTTCTGCAGTGAAAGGTCTTGAAATTTCTTTCTTTTACATGGCTAACTAATTTTTCTAGCTTTACAGAAAC